CACACTGCCACCTGGGCCCCTCCCAGCACACACCATGCAGCCTAGCCAAACCAGCTTCTTCAACAGCCATGGGAGACATCACCGCAAGTGTTTCCTAAATTCAACCCATCCTTGAAGTCTAAGTAGGCTACAACATTCCTCAAAAAGTTCTTGATCATAATGAACTTCATGATGAATTCAGATCTTTAAAAAAGCATGACAGACCACGGCTCGGGAAGCCACATGGGCAAATGAAATAACGTTGCATTTGTATGAGATTAGATCACTGATTTACCCCGTGGGGAAGATGAGGCTGTTGCCAGCCTGAACTGAGAAACAGGTTACACTTAAATAGAAAATCAGTAATGGGACACTGAGTCAGAGCGACAGCATTTCCCAATGAATTGAATACCATTTCCGTCTCATCAAGATCCACTCTACAGATGATTTCAGCAGAGCGGTTGTGTTTAGAGGAAAAAAGCAAACTGATACACTCAGTTTTCAAATAGTCTCAAGTGATCAGAGGCATGCTATTACATAGTTGTCACAACCAAAAGGACAGGAGGACAAGAAGTAGAGGTCAAGAGACCCACGTGAAGGATACTCAATCCTGCCTCTGTCACTTCACACCCTCAGCATCTTTACAGCAAGAACAGAGGGGCTACTTCTCATGGAAGGAGGCAAGGGGCAGGGAAGAAAGGAGCAGCCCTCTGCACATTCAGTGCGAATGCCTTTAATATTGATGGGCGATGGGTGACACTATTCACTGAAGACCTATTGATAGCTTAGTTTTTCCCAACTCATCTATGCTGCATCCAATTAACTATAAACAATTAAATTACACCACAGCAAGAGTCCAGTACATCAATAAAAAAAACGTGGGATTAAATAACTAAACTTTTAATCAAGCAGCTAAATTGGTGTTTTGTTGTTGTTATTGATGTTGTTTATTTGTTGCTTTCAACATTCCGACTCAATTTTGTAATTGAGGTAAGTATATAATCCTGGACAGCATCATCAGTATGTTTTGGTAACACATACATGCACTCCACAAATACCAACAGTATCTAGTAATGTGCAGGTACTGTTCAGGACCCAGGGATGATCAAATGAATAAAACTCTGTCAGTCCTCAAACAACTGAATAATGTTTAAAAATTATCACAAAGAACCTAATAAAGGCCTAAGAGGGGTTATATAACTTCAGACCATGAAAAATTTCCTCTAATCTCTAACAGGTAATTTATAGCAATAAAACACACACATGTTTACAAAGCAATACCCACAGAAGTTGGAAAGCTCATCACTTCAGAAACAATAGACTTGTTCCCTTCAAATACACTCACTTAGCTTCTAGCATTCGACTCTTGAAAAAAAATAAAGTGCCAGCCATCTGCATCCATGAATTCCACATCTGTGGGTCTAACCCAACACAAATCAAAAGTATTCAGGGGCGGTAGGACCATAGGAGAAGGGTATTAGTAAAGGAGAAAGGGGGAAATGGGGGCACCTTAAGTGGGAAAACCATGATGGAGGGATGAGACAATGCAAGAGATAAATAATGCCTAGCTAGTTTTATAAACCAGAGGGAACCATATCACTCCATCACCCTACTGACAAATTATACATACCAGATCAAGAAATATATGTGAAAAATATGTGTCTAAGTAAGGTTTATCTGAGAACAATTGGTCTTTGCCCAAGATTTATCTACATGATACACAGTAATTAAAAGTACCAGACTCGTTAAACTAACCTTCTTGGATGTTTAACAGACATACTTTGTGGCCTATAATAATTTGGTCAGAGGGACATAAAGGACAATTTTTGCTCCTTGCCCTCCTAGGTCAACTAGTTCCAGGGGAATATGAGCATCTCTCAAAATGTCCTGTAATTGTGGTGGGTCACCTGTCCTCTTGATCAAGGAGGCCGAGGAGCCCCCACCAGATGGACTTGAACCAGTGTCCAGTCTACAAAGAGGAGGGTCAACACAGAGGAATCATTTCCTCCATGCTGCCAAGTGAAGTAAACCACGGTCGAGCAGGACCTTTGACTTATCGTCACATAGGCATATCTTCACACAGAACTGGTAAAAGAAAGGAGCCACGGTCTCCTCCCAAGCCCATGTGACCCCTGAGGAAGAGATCCTCAAATGGCCTTAAGAGTACAATAAATGGCTTATCCTGGCCAACTGTAAGGCCTTAAACACCCGAGGAAAGTATAACCAAAGAATAAAGGGGCCAATATAATTTTTTAATAGTCCATATGTTTAGCTAAAGGCTATATAACAAGAAACAATGCCAGATGGGCGATATCTTATTTTGAGTTATTGGCAAGGCTCCCAGATAGTAACCCAGCATAAAACTGGGAAAATGAACAGCAGTCCCCAATCTTATCTAAAGGAATATTGACAATTGAATGCTGCTAGATGGGGAATAGTTGACCTTCCTAAAACAAAAACTTCTAAATAGGCTGACTAGATTCACTGGGTGGACAAGCACTGGGCAACTGCTGGGGTGCTGACAGCATATCAGACAGTGGCAGGGAAGTCAGAGTAAAATGGCTTTAGTGGGGGGCTGGCTATCGGAGCATGCCATTTGAGAAGGAAGTGGGCATATATATAAGATTATTTGGGATGTTCTGTGTGATATACACATACACACACAAAACAAAAATCAACAAATTTTTAAAAATGTATTATATTTGAGGAGGAAGCATGGAAATTCACATCATGTTAATTAGTAGAGGTGATAGACATTACCACTGAAATCTATCCAATGACTTTATAGATATACACAAGTGCCAAGGATCCAAGTGCAACCGATTATGACTAGTGATAATGAGATACATACAAATTAGAGATGCATGTGCCAACATCTCGGTGTTAGTAGCAAAAACAATGAGTCTTCCTGCAAGGAACAATATGAAAATGAAAAGGAGATCTTTTTTAAAGGTTTAAAACATTCAATTTTTGTCTTACAGGGCTTATACTGAGTTCAATATTGTATAACTGTTTTAATTCAACTGTGAACCTAAAAATTTTATAGCCACTTTTGAAAGAGATGTATCTTTTCTCTGGAAATTGTTACTGAATATGTTAAAGCTGTAGTGAAATGCTTCTTCTAATCATGTGGTTATTAAAAATTTT